CCTCCTCCTCCTCCTCCTCCTCCTCCTCCTCCTCCTCCTCCTCCTCCTCCTCCAGGGCGTCCCCCAGGGTGCCCCCCAGGGTGCCGGTTGTAAACTCGGGGGTGGACAGACCTCCTACCCTGGCACGTCGATTCAGGAATTGGCCGTGTTCGGTTCGCGAGAGGGCGTCGCGGCCATCATTTTTGCGGGTCCAGGTCCGTCGGTTTCGGTCCCAGGCCGTTTTCAGTAAGGGGAGGTCTACTAAAGGGAGGTTTGGCCACCGCCGATAAACCGCACCTTTTGCAAACCACACCCTTCGGAGTCGCCGCAAGGTCCCCGTGGGGGCGCGCATCAAGAGACTATGTCTGCTTTTCGTCCGGGTGCCCCGGGTTCTGTCGCTCAGCGCGCTGCGCCGTGGCTTCCCGCGGTCGTTGAAGGAGCTGCTGCGGTCAGAGTGTTCTGGGTTCCCCCCACTTGCACCTCGCGCCTGCTGGTTTCAGGGCTGGGTTTCTTGCGAGGGTCCCTTGCGGCCGCGCCCGCACTGTACGTCGGAAATCGCAGATATTGAATATTACGCGTGACGCCTGACCCCCAGCAGCACCCGGGGCGGACAGAGACCTCCCGGATGCTTCGGAGCGACAGCGGTCTCGTCTGAGGCGGCCCGAGGTTCGAGAGACTTGGCCCTCGTCCGCTTTCTCGTCCCCGGAGGGCTTCTCCGAAGGGCTTCGGCGACCCGTCCTCCTCCCTCCCCCTCCCCCTTCTCCTTCTTCCCCTCCTCCACCCCCTCCTACTCCTCCTCCTCCTCTTCTTCCTCCTCCACCTCCTACTCCTACTCCTACTCCCACTCCTGCTCCTACTCCTACTCCTACTCCTACTTCTCCTCCTACTCCCTCCTCCTACTCCCTCCTCCTCCTCCTCCTCCTTCCCCTCCTCCTCCTCCTCCTCCTGCTCCTCCCTCATCCTCTCCTCCTACTCCTCCTCCTCCTCCCTCCTCCTCCTCCTCCTCCTCCTCCTCCTCCTCCTCCTCCTCCTCCTCCTCTCCTCCTCCTCCTCCTCCTCCTCCTCCCCTCCTCCTCCTCCTCCTCCTGTCCTCCCCCGACCCCCTCCTCATGCTCCTCCTCCTCCTTCTCCTCCTCCTCCTCCTCCATCTCCTTCGCATCCTCCTCCTTCTCCTCCTCCTCCTCCTTCTCCTCCTCCTCGGGTCGCCTGCGGCCCTCGAGGAAACCGCCTCCTCTTCCCCCCCATCGACCCGTTTTGAGTTATTCGTGAGAACGCCCGTGACTGGCCCCGCCCCCCACGATTCGCGCTGGCGCCGTTTGGGAATGAGCCGTTCTTAGGCATTCCCAGAGGGCGGCGGCGCGAATCGTGACGTGGCTGGACCCCTCCCCCCCTCTCCCCCTGCATGGGCACGCCGCCAGTTCGCTAGGGGACACAAGCTGCCCGCAGCTCCCTCCTCGGCGCCACCTCTCCAGAGCCTCCGGCTCCGGCTCTGCATGCAGCTCTCTAACCGAGGGGACACCCGGACGGATCCGCTCCCAGGGACCAGCTTCTCAGGCTTTTCCCCCTGAGTCGTTTTTCGACGGCTCCGGGGCGCGGCGAAGCTCCCATGGAGGCCGAAGACGGCCAATAACCCTCCGTCGTGACTTCTTCACGCTGCGCTAAGGGTGGGACATCTTCGTCTCCTCCCCCCAGCTCGTCGATCCTGGGGATTTCCTGATCCTCTGGGGGCAACGGGCGTGACCGAGAAGAGGGGAAAGAGGGAGGGAGGGAGGGGGCCGGCCACGGCACGGTTCGCGCCGCCGCCGTCTGGGAATGCTTGCGGCTGGCTCATGGCCTGACAGCGCCAGCACGGATCGTGACGCGGCCAGGGTGAGTCGGGCATGTCCCTCTGCAGGAGGAGTACTCCAGATTTCGTAATAAAGGGAGGGGGGTCTCATTTCGGGGGGGGGTCTCTTCCAGGCTATCTTGGAGGGCCTGGGGGGTCTGGGGACGATGTTTTGGAGGGTTCTCCCACGGGGGAGGTCTGAAATGGCTTGTCTTGGAGGGTCCAGACCCCCTCCCTTTTATTACGAAATCTGGATTATGCAAAGATAGGTGGGCCGGGGCTTGCGAGCGGAAGCGTCCGTCTCGAGCGTCTCGAGGCGTTGGATGCCCCCTGAAGCTGCAGAGAGCGTGCAGCTGATGGGCCTGTTTCCCACCACCATCAATTGGAGGGGAGGAGGAGGAGCAGGAGGAGGAGGAGGACGACGAAAGGGAGGAGGAGGAGGAGGAGGAGGAGGAGGAGGAGGAGGAGGAGGAGGAGGAGGAGGAGGAGGAGGAGGAGGAGGAGGACCCCCTCCCCCTCCAACTTATGGTGGCGGTAGTGGTGGTGGTAGACAGGCCCTCCAACAGCATCTTGCGGCGCCCTTTTTTGAGCAGGATCGATCTGTGAGGGTCCCCCGGGCCCGAATTGGGCGACGATGTCGGGGCTCACGAGACGGGGGTCAATGCAAGCGGGGGTCCGCCAGAGCGCCAGATCTTTCAGGATCCTGCAGGATGGCCAGCTTCGCATTGACCCGGATTTGGACGCAGGATCCTGCAGGATCTTGCAGGATCTTTTGCATTTACCCGGGTTTGGGCACAAGATCCTGCAGGATCTTGCAAGGCCCGACTGACCCGGGTCTGGATTGACCCGGATCAGCAGATCCCCGACACTTCCCAGCTCGAACAAATTTCCAGCGCCCTGATCTCAGGCTCGTGCACCCTGAGCTTCCAGAGCGCTCAAAAGTAGCCCTCCAGACCTATAGACCTGCCCGGATCGCTTCAAACGGGAGGTCTTGATGTCGAGGTCCTGGTGGTATCTTTTAGCCCTCGAGGAAGGGCTGGGCAGGTGGACTCCCGTTTTGCGTTTGTTCTCCCAATCAGTGCTTGCATTCCTATAGCGAAGAATTGAGACATTTGGCGGAAGTGTCCCGCCGATTTTGGCCAGCTGGGTTCCCGGGTTCCCGGTTCCGGGCTCTGCTCACTGGTTCCGGGCCGAGTTCGGTGGGTTCCGGGTTCCCGGGGTTTTCGGTCGACTTCCTTATCGATCTCCTTGTCGATCCAGGTTCAAGCCATCCACTGGTTGGGCTTTTTTTCCCTGGTGCAATGCTGATGCCATGCTTGCTTCTTCGAGCTCTGTCCCATTCCCCGCCTCGGGAAAGATGTCCGCCCCAGCCGAGCTCACACCTTACCAGTTTGAAACATATCCCTATCCCTATGTTTGACATCACCTCACCTCGATGCCGATCTTAAGGATTCCCTCAGTTTCTGAGGGCCTATCCCTAAGATTGTCCTCGCTTATTGCTCGCCCATCTTAGGGATAGGGATACGTTCGAGGCTGGTTAACACTGCCCTTCCTCGGCCCCCTGGTGTATTCGGCTCGCCCGCGTGGCCGCGCCGCGGGCGGAGCGGCGGTTCGAGGCGCCAGCTGGGCCTGGCCGGGGGCGCGCCGCCGCGGCCGAGGGGCTCGTCGCGCACGAGCGGCCTGCCCACCAGGGGGTCGAGGAAGGGCAGTGTTAAGTCGGGCCTGTCCCTCTACAGGGGGAAGATTCAGAATTGGTCAAACATTAGTCGGGTGACGATTTTTTGACTATGTTTGACCATTTGGGGGCATTTTTGGAGTATCTTTTCATTTTTCGCCCACAATCCGCCTGTAGGGGGACATGCCCGACCGAACACCAGGGGGTCGAAGAAGGGCAGTGTGAAATCGGCTGGGGCGGACATCTTCCCCGAGGCTTATGATGTTCCAACCTACGTTAGCCTCGACCACAGGAAAGAATTTCGAGCACCAAGGAATTACCGGAACTCGAGGGCTTTCACGTGCCGGGCCCTGGGAGGCGATACTCGTTCGCCAATGACTCGATACTTTTCTGGATGCTCGAGATATTTTTTGGGATGTGGTGCTTAAGTACGATGGGAACTACATAACCCGAGGCGGGGATTTTGACATAACTCGAAGAAGCAAACATGGCCTAAACATGAATTTTTGGCGCTCGGCGCGGATCCGGCAAGTCCTCGCGGAGCGCCAGCAGTTTGTGTGTTATGTTTTTTCTTTTGATTATCATAACCACCGCCTGGAGGATCGATTGCCAGATGCCTCGACAGGCGGTGGATATTGTTATGAGCATGGATATGGCTATGGCTATGGGTATAGATACGGATCTTTATCTATGTATTTATTTGATGTTTTGCTTGATCTACTTGTGTATGATATGTGTGTGTATATATTTATGAAAACAATAACTTCAAAACAAATCCTTCGGAACCTTGGCGGGTTTGCGTGGACCCCCGGTCCCCCGAGCTCCCCGGGGGCCCCGAAAGGGCACCCGAAGGCCCCCCGAGAGCCCCCCAACAGCCCCCCACGCGGCCTATTGGGGGTCCCCAGCCTATCCAAGACGGCCCTCGGGCGGCCCAGGCTGCTCCCCTGACGGCCACCACGGCTCCAAGAGGGCCCCAGGGGACCCCAGAGAAGGCCCCAGGGGACCCCCGAGAGAGCCCCATCCAGCAAACATCCACACATTCCCTTCGGAAAACAAGCTCGCCTTTTGGGTCGTCCCCGCGTCCACGACTGCCCCGGAGGCCTCCAAAATCGTCCCACGACCGCCCAAGAAGCTCCCAAGAAGGCCCCCAGATGGCTCATGACGGCCCACGAGGCCCCCAAGACGGCCCAAGAGGACCCTATAGGAGGTGCCCCAGAGGGCCCCAACACGGCCCAAGATGGACCCAAGACGGCCCAAGAGGCGTCCAAAATTGCCCAACACGGCCCCAACCAAGACGGCTCGACAAGCGTCCTACAAGGCCCCAGAGGGCCCCAGGAGCCCCTCCAGGAGTTTCAAAAGGGTTTCTTACAGGGCCGCCCGCGGCAGGGGAACGCCATTTGAACAATCATCGCGAGATCTACGGCGGTCGCTGCTGACTTGCGTCGCACACCCCAGAACGCACCGCCAAAGTTCTAACCCCCTCAACCCCGTGGATTTAATTGATCCGCGGGCCCACACTAGTATGTATATACATATATATACATATATATATATGTATACATATTTGTATACACATATGTATATATACATACATATATATATATAGTTATGTGCATATGCATGTGTGTACGTGTTTACGTGTAGACGCATGTATATGTGTATGAATGTATGCATGTATGCATGTATGCATGTATGCCTGCATGCATGCACGTATGTATGTATGTATGTTTGTCTGTTTGTATGTATGTATGTGTGTATGTATGTATGTATGTATGTATGTATGTATGTATGGATGGATGGATGGATGGATGGATGGATGTATGCATGGATATATGGATGTATGGATGTATAGATGTATGGATGTATGGATGTATGGATGTATGGATGTATGGATGTATGGATGTATGGATGTATGGGTATATGTATGTATGTATGTATGTATGTATGTATGTATGAATGTATGTATGTATGTATTTATGTATGTATGTATGTATGTATGTAGGTAGGTAGGTAGGTAGGTAGGTAGGTAGGTATGTATGTCTGTATGTCTGTATGTCTGTATGTCTGTATGTCTGTATGTCTGTATGTCTGTATGTCTGTATGCATATATATATATATGTATAGATGTACGTATGTATACACAAGTGGTTCGTGTGTGCCCAGGCTCATACAACAAAAAAAACGAGGTCGCACTCGCGCACTCGAGCGCAAGTGGGGTTGCCACATCTTGCGATGTGTGTACCAGGGCCCCCCAGGAAGCCTCAGGAGTCCCGACGTGGATACCGGAAGAGGCTCCAGGAGGCCCCAGGATTGTGAGTGTTGTGTGGGTGTGTGTGATGTGTGTTCTGTGTTGTGCGTGCTTTCTGTGCGTTGTAGGTGTTGTGTGTGTGTGTGTTATGTTTGTCTAGCGTGTGATGTGTTGGGTGTGATTGTGTCTCTGTGTGTGCATGTAGTTCGAAGGCCCCAGGAGGCCCGAGGAGGCCCCAGGCGGCCTCAGGAGGCCCCAGGAGACCCCAGGAGGCTCCAGGAGGCCCCAAGAGGCTCCGGGAGGCCGCAGGAGGCCCCAGGAGGCCCCAGGAGGTTCCAGGAGGCCCCCAGGAGGCTCCGAGGCGGGGTCTGGGGTACCAGAAGGCACAGAAAGCCCCTTGGGGCCCCGGGAGGTTCCAGGAGCCCCCCAGGAGGCTCCGAGGCGGGGTCTGGGGTACCAGAAGGTACGTGGGGGCTCGATTGTGGGAGGATGTCTCAGGCGAAACCGCCATTCTCTAAGAATCGGGGTCAAAATTATTGAAATGACACTGTGTTTTTGAAGGTTTATGTTAACATGTTGAAAATCCCATGTGTTTTTGGACCCTGACGCCACGATCTGTGTGAGGGGTGCCACCGATTTTCGTAACTTCGAGGATGTCCCTAGCGAAACGGCCAGAAACATCGCGAACGACGCGGCGCGTATGCATTCATCGCCTCTGAGCTCTACTCCCTCGGAGAGGTGCGTATGAGAATTATATATATATATATGTATGTATACTTACACACGTATATATGTATGTATGTATGTATGTATGTATGTATGTATGTATGTATGTATGTATGTATGTATGTATGTATGTATGTATGCATGCATGCATGCATGTATGTATGTATGTATGAATGAATGAATGTATGTATGCATGCATGCATGCATACATGCATGCATGTATGTATGTATGTATGTATGTATGTATGTATGTATGTATGTATGTATGTATGTATGTATGTATATGTATGTATGTATCTATTATATATATATATATATATATATATGTTGTTGTGGGAGGGGTCCCGCGGGCCCCGGAGTGCACTGATTTGTCTTCCCGCCGTGTTGTACCCGGCGGGGGTGCCAGAACGCGTCAAAGGAGGGGAAGGGGGGCGACGAGAGGGCCCGAGAGACGTCCAAGAGGGCGCCAACGTGGCCCAAGAGCGCTCCGAGACCGCCCAAGACCGCCGGGAGACGTCCAATAGGGCCCCGCTCTTGGACGCCTCCTCTTGGACGCCCCTGCATCTGGGGGTGGGGGGGGGGGCGGGTGCGCTGCGAGGGGCCAGCGCGAATGACAGGCACAGGCGTCCGTCGGCGGCGGGGCAGAGGCAGCCCGCACCAGCGTGCGGCTCTTCGGGGCAAGCGAGAGGCGAGAACTGTCCGGCGTGCAAGAGGGAGGGAGCCAGACGAGGGCGGCGCGCGGGGGGAGGGGGGGAGGGGGAACACAGAACAACTACATACAGGGCCGTTTTTTTATACATGCTCCGCGTGCGGATCATGTACTAAACATGCCGGGATTTAGTATTAAAAGCAACGATGAGTTCATGCACACATTTGTTCATACATTGATCATGTATTAAACATTCTATGTTAAAACAAATCCCGTGCATTAGAAATTGCCCTGTAAACATCAGCACTCGAAGGCCCGCGGGAACTTCTTGGATTTGAGCTTGCCCCCCCTTGGCGGCGCCTCTAGCGCCAGCCGCGGCGAGGAGGAGAAGGAGCAGGATAGGATGAGGAGGAGGGGGAGGAGGAGGGGAGAGAGGAGGAGGAGGAGGAGGAGGAGGAGGAGGAGGAGGAGGAGGAGGAGGTAGGAGGAGGAGGAGGAGGCGTCGAGGGGAAACGCAGAACAACCCACATAAGCATCAGCATCCGAAGGCCCGCGGGAACTTCGTTTGGATTTGAGCCTGCCCCCCCCCCCTGGCTGGCGCCTCCAGGCGCCAGCCGTGGCGCGCTTGTCGTGCGCCCAGGGGAGTCCAGCGCCGATCCAAGGACATCCTCGCGACATGTTTCGAGAGTGGAGGAGGAGGAGCAGGAGGAGGAGGAGGAGGAGGAGGAGGAGGAGGAGGAGGAGGAGGAGGGAGGAGGAGGGAGGATGGGGGAGTTGGAGGAGGAAGAGGAGGAGGAGGAGGAGGAGGAGGAGGAGGAAGAAGAAGAGGAGGAGGAGGAGGAGGAGGAGGAAGAGGAGGAGGAGGAGGGGAAGGAGGAGGAGGAGGGGGAGGATGCTTGTGTATGCTGTTCGTATTGTCGAAGCATGGCATCGTCAAGTAAGCGGGGCGGTGACGTGGGCGACCCGCGCTTGCGCACGGAGTCCCTGCGAGTTGGCGGCGCAGCATGGGGTGACACTCCTCGAGCTGGCAGCTGTCTGCCCTATACCAGCCTTGCCAGTTTGCCACGTGGGTTCAGCAAGCCGTTTGGGCTCAAACCCTTCTCCCGACTTCCCAGCATGCGACGTCCTGATTTGTTCAATACGTGGTCCCCAGAAGTCCCGACCCTCTCCCCGGCACCGGTTCTTCCAGCGGCAACCTCTCCTTGGCACCGGTGGTCCCCGGTCCGAAGGCTTGGGCCGAAAACGGCCTGATTCTTTTGCGGCGCGATCATGTCTGGGTTGCGGGCTTCTACGGCTCTCCTCTGCATGCCACTGCCCTGCCAGATGTGTTCTTCAATGCACCGGTGGCCCTCTCGGCAGAAACGCCGCTGCCGCTGCATCGCTGACCCCAGCGGCAGTCGACCCTCTCGAATTCAGAAGTGAAGTGTTTTTGTTTGTATGACGAGTTCTGACAAGATAGAGGCAGACAAGTCGAAGCAGAAGGCAAGGGGCGATAATGCAGCACGCGACTGATTTTCGTTTCCATCGCCGTTTTGTCTCAGAGCCCCTCCAGCAGGGGCGTGCATGCAGCAGCAGGCAGATTTATTCGTTGAGGAGCTGACGGAAAAGTCATCATCCGGCGCCCGCGGAGCCGCCTCTGCCTGACCGGCGCCGCCAATGCGGAGGCGCCGGTCACGGCAACGCTGCGCACGATTTCCGCACGGAGCCGGGATCCACGACGGCCATCCCCCGAAAAAAAGTGGAGTCAACCCGCATGTTCTCGGAAACTGGAGCATATACATTACCAGATGCGGGCGGCTTTTCAATCCCAAGATTTTTTGAGGGTCGGGGACGACGTCGGGGTGGTGTGGTGTATATTTGTTTCCGCGCTTTTCTGGGGAATTAGCGAAACATGTGTATTCCAGGATCCCGTATACAGCAGGACCGCTTTTATGTGCGAGGTTCTGTGCTGGGCCAGAAAAAGGCGTCGGTGTACAGAGTTCGGCTCCTTGTCATTGTCTTAGCTGCCTCGATACGCCCGTTCTGAAAGGCAACATGTGCCGTGCTCAAAACGTCGGTGTCAATACGTTGCGCGTTGGCTCAGCGTATTGGCCCCCGTTATGGCGAACGTATCGCGCCAGACCTGCGTTTCCAGCCCACGTGTTGAGCTCCGTATCAATACGCCACGTGCTGCGTGTTGCGTATCGGGGCAGCCAAGACCCGCACAGTTTGAGGATGAGCAACTTTCCAAGGTCACCCTTGCATCCCTCGAAGAGAAAACCAAAACACATACACACAAACTTCTGGCGCTCCGCGCGGATTTCTTGTATCCGCGCCTGGGCCCCTCCGGCGGCGCGCCACAAGTTCATGTTCACGCCGTTGCTTCTTCTTCCACTTTTGGCCCATCCTCGGCCGCTTTCGCTGGCCGCGCCCCGCTCGAAGCAGGTCGACGCGGCCCTCGAAGGCCCCTGCAACCGCGCCTCCTTGTGGTGCGGCTTGGCTCTGGGGGCGCCTTTGCCGTCTGGCACACCGCGCGTGGAGGCGGCAGCACGAGAAATCAAACAATAATGTGGGTACGATGTTTTGGCATTGCTTGATCATGTTTGAGTTTGTTTTGTTTTTCATTCTTCGCCGAAATCCACCTGCTGGGGGACACGCCCGACCGAACACCAGCCGTCGAAAGAAAGGGAGACGGCGAGGAGGAGACGACGAGGATGAGCAGGGGGGCTTGTTTTTCTCGGCGGCGAGCCCAGGGATGAAGTCAGAAGTGGCGGGTCTTCTGAGAAGGAAGGCTCGGAAGTCTCCCGGCTTTCAGAGAAGGTATGCTGAGCCTTCCCCGAAGACACAGAACACCTCTCAGAAGGCGCGAGGGCTTCTGGGAAGTCCCGCCGCCTTCTGAGAAGGCCTTCTCCTTCTCATCCCTCTCCCTCGCTCGCCGCCGATCTTCGTCCCGGATCCAGTTGCGATAGTCACGGTGCTCGAAAACGGGCCCCAGGTCTGCACGAACGAGATAGGCACGAAAAGAATGGGTACAATGCCCAGCAGCAGTTCCTGTTCATTTTGAGCAGGACTCGCTGTCCACGCCGCCGCGGCCTGTGTCCACTTGAGACAGGAGGCCGCCCGCCCAGCAGCGGCCGCTGTTGGCTTGGGACAACATTTGTTGTTGGGCATTGTACCCATTCTTTCCGTACCCATCTCGGGCGTCCAAGCCAGAGGCCGAAACCGAGGAACTTGGCATCGCTCGGGCGTGTGCATTTTTCCTTCGGCGAGGACCATCGAGGAGCATCCTCGATCATTTGGCGAAAAATGCCACGCATGAAACCGAAACCAGCACAGGGAATAGGCGTCCGAGCGATGGCCAGGGAAGCACGCCGGGATGGCACACATCACACCGTCGGAGGCGTGGTTTCCAGGCCACCGCTTGGGCCTCCGTGGCTGGTCGAGAGACGACTCTTGGACCCCCGGAGGAAGCTCTTTGCGAGGCGCGGCCGCTGGATATGGCACCCCCGAGGCGAGACAGGCACCTATATAGGGGCCTCGTGCCCAGGGCGGGGAGGAGGATCGAGGACGAGGACGAGGAGGAAGCGAGGGAGGACGAGAGAGAGGGCGAGGAGGATGGGGAGGAGGACGAGGGGGAGGACGAGGAGGAGGAGGGGGAGGCAGAGGATCGAGAGGGAGTAGTTATCGAGCAGGGCCGCGGAAGGCCGATGAGGAGGATCAAGAGGACGAGGAGGAGGAGGGGGAGGAGGAGGACAAGCTAGGTGCGCTCGCGTCATATCTGACGTCCTACCCCTTCTTCCCATCCCTTACCATGGCGCTGATTTTCTCTATCCGCGGACGCGTGTCGTAGCGGACCTGTGGCTCCGCGCGCGCGTGCGTAGTGGGTGGTGGTGCACGTGCGTGCGTGCGTGCGTGTGTGCGTGGTTGTCGTGGTGGTGGTGGTGGTGGTGGTAGTGGTGGTGGTGGTGGTGGTGATGGTGGTGGTGGTGGTGCTGGTGGTGGTGGTGGTGGTGCTGGGTGGTGTTGGTACTGTGCTGGTGGTGGTGGTGGTGGTCGGTGATGGTTGGTGGTGGTTGGTGGCGGTGCGGCGCGGTGGTGGCGGGCGGATGGGCGCGCGAGAAAAAGGCCCGCGCTGGGCGAGAACGCCATCCTGAACGACGGAGGCCAAACACCGATCCGAAAATGAGGCCCACGCTGCAGCGGGAGCACGATTCGGAACGATTCGGGAGCAGAAATGAGGCCGGCGCCTCAACGAGAGCAGCATTTTGGGAAAAAATGACGCCGGCGCCTGATGAGGAGAGGAGAAGGAGAAGGAGAAGGAGGAGAAGGAGGAGGAGGAGGAGGCAGAGGAAGAGGACGACGATGAGCTGGAACGAGGAGTTGGATCGAGGACGAGGAGATGGAAAAAGAGGGGGAGGAGGAGGAGGAGGAGGAGGAGGAGGAGGAGGAAAAGCAAAAGGATCAAATGCCACAGCGGTCACGCTAAGGCCGGTCTAACGTAAAAAGGAGGAGGAGTAGGACGAGGAGGGAGGACGAGAAGAAGAAGGAGGAAGACGAGGAGGATGAGGAGGACGAGAGGAAGGAAGAAGAAGAGGAGGAGGAGGAGGAGGAGGGGGAGGAGGAGGAGG